GATGCTTTTGCACTCTACCGAGATTGGGGAGTAAGGTCTTGACAAATATTGTTACTTGGAGAAGGCCTAATGAATAGTAATGGTATACGTTTCCTTATAAGGAATAACTCGGGATTAGCTGATTTTTAAAATCTTTTGTTGAAATAACTTTTCAGGAAAAATGATGGAGATTTCCTTCATAACCTTTTGTTTGAAATAGTGTGGAAGGCTAATATTCTAATTATTTTATTATTTTCTCTTCGAGTTACATGTGCTAACAATTGTAGTTATTGCTGCTGTTGGTAGTTCTCAAGTGATGTGGTTTCTGTTATTTGGAATAGATATTTTAGTGAATATGTAGCGCCAGTTCCCAATGTTCAAAGATGGATAATCTTTGCCATGACCCTCTGGCCTCACTCGCTCAAAGAATTGTTAACCATTTGGATTGTAGGAATTATTTTGGAGTTAATATTTTTAGTGATACAAGTCTTAGTAAATAACCTATAACTTGTTTGGGGGAGAAGTTGATTCAAAACTTTCCCAATATATTTTGATATAATGAAACCAACTGGAAATAAAACTAAAAACTAAATTGTTTACAAGTGTTTCACAAACAAAAAAACCTACCTTCAATAATTCTTGAGAAACAATAAAACTGGTTTTCAGCCATATCTGGAGAATAATAAAACATCTTATATATCATACTTATAAATAAATTTTTCTTCAACCATACCTAACAAACTATAAAATTGTCCTTCAACCATATCTTAAGAACTATAAAAATTCCTCTCATTCATACTTGACCAACTATAAAATATATTTACAACACAAATATTTTGACTCTAAATGACCCACAAGATGTTGAGGGACCGTTAAGAACAATCAACAAATCAAACTAAACTGGAAGCCAAAAAAAATGGGGGTGGTGTGTGAACTAGACGATAGGCGAACATATTTTTTCCAATTCTGAACTTTAAATCTGTGTAATATTTGAAAAAAAAAATATCGGAAAAGTATAACTGAATTGATTTTCTTGTAAAATATTCACTGTACAATGTATAATTAATTTTATTTTTTTCTCTTGCAGGAACTCCGAACCAGAACGCAAAAGACGCCTGTCAACGCGGGCCATTTGTTGGGGCAACATCCTTCTTTCTCATTCGTGAGTAAAGAAATGTTTTCAATTCAAATAATAAACCTGAATTCTGTATTGCGTTAGAGACGTGCTTATCATATTTTTGCGCGCCATGTTACTGACGTTCAACAGAAAATGTAATTTAGTTTCGTAAATGACGATTAGAGTGATGTTTAATGATTTCATTTCATAGACCCTGTAAATCTCAAGTAATGTCACTTTCCACGGGATGACCTTCACTCTTTATGAACAAGACTCGAGTTTTTATGTTACCGTTTCAATTTTGTAGCAACTCTAATGGGTGAAACTAACCTAAGCGCAGTTTCTCCTTTATTCAATTTCTTTATCTCCTATAATAAATTACTTGGAACTGATCCATACATCTTGGTATTTGAAGTATTTATGCTTACGTCACAATACATTTTAGCCAGTAGCGAACCACTTCACTCTACTTATAATATTCTGTAAATTAGTACATGTTGGTTAATAATATTAATAATAATAATAATAATAATAATAATAATCAGACGGAACACGTTGGTTGATAAAGTGAGAAAAACAAAGTATTTCTTGTATGCCAAAACGCGTTGATTTTTCATTGAGAAAAATCCCCGAAAATAATTACCTTTCGTGTTATCTCTGAAAGATAAAGTTGTAGAGAGGAGTTTGCTAAACATTACGAACCCCAGTCAATAATATGCAGATATAAAATATAATGATTTACTAAACACAGATTATGTGTGGTACAAGACTAAAAATAGGGAGCACTCGTTTTGGATCGAACTCACGACTCAGTCATAATTTATCTAAAGGGACAAGCATGCTAACCATTACACCACGTTGATGTAGCCAAAATGCGATTATCCAAGTGAAGGTGTGCTGTGACACAAGGCCGAAACTATGGAGTACCTTGTTAGGATGTAAGTTGGAGCTAAGCAAGTTAAGCGTCAGACAACCAGTACTTGATCTGCATGGGTGTTTAAGGAAAGCAGCTCTACAGAACCCCACTTCTGGCTGGCTTCAGTGATGCCTGGCATTCTTGTTCTGTTTAAATCATCTCGCTGTTGAGCCAACCTTCAGAAATGGGTATATGCTACCGATGATGAGGATTCCAACTGCCAATGCGAGCAATTACAAACTATGCAGCTTCTTGCATCCGCTTATTCACACTTGAAAACATAACAGGAACATCTTTGTGTGCAACACTTCATGGATGTAGCGGAGTGACCCGATAAGAAGACCTAGTGAGAATCGTACTCACTAATCAGTGGTAATTGATATGGCGAGGCAAGCTTACTAACAATTACATCACATGGAACAGCTCACTGAGTCATATAATATAAGCCTACAGTTATAATTCTTATGTAATAATCAACGCCTATGTCTTTAGTACCTTTTGATAATATATATATATATATATATATATATATATATATATATATATATATAGCTTTTCCTTCAGTATATGTCTATATTTCTGAGATGAGGTATTATGTACACTATTCACATTATTCGGACTATTGTTCTCATCTTTGTCGCCACATTTAGGTGATTGGAATGTCGAACTGAACCATTTATTTCGCTCACAAGGGTAGACTGATCTAGTTCCACGTGCCATGCTTAATGGCTGTTAGTTATCAGTTATCTCCAGTTCATTCCCCTCTCCAAGGTCTCCACAGCATTAACCAGGTATTGAATTCACACTCTTTGAGTCCTGTCACTGGATCTAACCTTTATCCACTCTGCCATGTGACCATCTGTGTATGGATTTCTGGGTATTATAAACGTAATTTATCAGTAACCGTTTTTTTTACCAGAGCACATATTGCAATATTTTTGTTTTCATTATCGCTTTTCTCTGGCACTCCTTATTACTGGTTCCCATATTGTATTCATTTCTATGCTTGGTCCTATTCTTTACAGCACATTATGTCTTGTAATAACAAGTACGTGTTGTTTCAGCTGCTGATATGTATCACATTGGGCTAAACTATATTATAAATCTAATTAATAACCAAAAACTTTTAATAACTGTTCCAAAATGTGAGCATTTCTTGTTACAGATAGACAAATGACACCGTAGAGTTGTCGACTGTACATTTGATAGTACCATAGGGTATTAAATCTTGAAATTTTTTTTTTTCTAAAAAGTACCTAGCTAATTATAGGATGCGGCTTAGCAATTGTAACGTTTTAGTATACGGGAAATACAGTAGTTCTACGTTATGTGCTATGGAATCGAGAGTCACTTCCGATGACAGGGGCTAAACGTTATAAAAAAAAAAAAAAAAAAACACTTAAAAAGAATAAACTACCGCTGTTAAACTAGTGGCCAGTCCGTCTAAGAAGGTTTTTTGTAAGAAAGTAATGCCGGATTAGTGAGGGGAAAGGATTACTGATTGCCGGATTGCTGATGGACACACTGTATCTATGTTTATCGTCGGTGTGCAACTTAGGAGTCAAGAAGAACGAAGAAGAATGATTTTGCCCGCGAGACCGTCTTCGAAAGTGGAGTAAGTCGAAAACGCCACTGAGTGATCCACTTTTTCTTCGTTCTATGCGGGATTAAGCTGAACTTAGTAAATATTTATTGATGTTTGTACTTGTTTACGACTTAACAACTCAAACGTAATCGGATGTTCGCAATCCTATTCCTTAAGCGGTAAACGAAAACAGAATTTCCGTTATCAAATATAACAGGATGTATACATGAGCATAGTAGTCAGTTTGTGTCAGTAAAATCCAGTCTTTTTCTCATATATATATATATATATATATATATATTAATGTATATTTAGGAACCAACCTTTCTTTCAAACATGTTTCGATGAAGATCACAGAAAAAGAAAATTTAACTATTGTTTTAATATTGTTTTCCATCATTCTTACATTTTCTGTTTGATGGGAGTAAAGAAGTGCAGAAACATATAGCATTGTTCCACGTATTTGACCACATTTTTAACCATTTTCAATGTGATTTCTTTTAAGTGTCGTTATTTTCTTTTCAAGTTCGACTGTCTAAGATGTATTTTTGTGTGTTATTTTGAATACTAGTAGGAGCGTTTATTCCGAGCTTCGCATATTGATTTAGTTAAACGTCTTACCCAGGACAGGAGTTTTGTAGAAAGCCTTGATATAAACATTTATAAAACAACATGAAGTCTTGAGGAGAATTCACATTTATTTTACGTACAAATAAAAATAAAATGAATTTATGGGATGAAGAGCTATCATTATTTAAATTATTTAGTGTTGTTGTCATTATTGTTGTTTTGTCAGCGTTTCGGGCCTGTTATTCATCAGGTGCTTTGTCGATCCAAGTAACCTTCGATGGATTCCAAAGGAAATTTTTATCTAATCTGCGGGGGTAGATAATTTTCTTTTCGCTAACCATGACCAGAACATCTAGTCAAATTTTTATTTAGTCCTGATCACTTATAGAACTGGAGTTGAAGCAATTGCTATGTCTGCCGCAAGAAAAGTTGTTTCACAGTGTTGTGCCATGCCATTATTTGCAGCAGAATTATTATAGAACCCAAAGAGCCTGATAAACCACTAAATAAAACCAACCAAATGATCGTTAAACTATTCGGTCGTTAAGAGGTTGTATGCATCTAGGCGAGCAGAATTTCGGAGACACATACAAATCTCATTGTTATTTAGATCAGTATTTTCAAAGACCCTTTCTGTTAGTCATTCAAGTTAGATCTACTGTTCTGTTAGTATGATTGCAATATTTTGAATATTTATGTATCGACCATGTTAAAAACTGAATATGTACATCATATTATATTCGTATTGCCTGGCAACCGTAGAGAAATAATGACAACTTGGAACCGATGTGAAATAACCTGAGTATGCCCAGGGGGAGATAACCGTTGATTTC